GATTTTTTGAGAGATTTTCAAGGAAATCATTGGGGTAAGAAATTCTTGTATGGTTGGACTTGACATCGAATGGGTGTTCGACTTTTATAATTTTGGTCGGGTTCCGAGACGTGGGCCCGGGTCGACTTTTGGGGCATTTTTTCCAATTCTTGCTAAAATCATAATTTCATTATTTAGATTAGTTTTCTATAGTTATATTTATAGTATGTAATTGTTTGGCTATATTTGAGCCGTTCACAGTCGAAAAGTCGAGGGAAAGGCCTTCTAATTGATTGATTGAGCATGGTTTGAGGTAAGTGACTTGTCTAACCTTGTGTGGGGGAAATCCTCCATTATGATTTGGTATTGTTGTGACAATTTGTGATATATGAGGGCCGTGTTATTATTGCACGAGGTTTCTTCGGCGCGGTTGTTATTATTGCACGAGTTTTCTTCAGCGCGGTTGTTATTGTTGCACGAGGTTTCTACCATACGGTTGTTATTGTTTGCACGAGGTTTCTTCCGTGCCATTGTGATTATTGATACTCATGCAGTGGTATAAGGTTTGGGTATTGAAACGCATGCTGTGAGATAAGGTGGGCTTGATACGCGTGGCTAGTAGGGGAACTACTAGAAGTCATGCGGTGTGATAAGGTTGGTTAAAACACGGGATGATATTTCGGAAAAATAATTTTCATAACAAAATATAAAAGCTCCCGCGATGATATAAGGAAAGATTGTGATTTATTTACTTGTGGGACTACGAGGCGGTATCTCGGGAGTGCCCCTATTGATTTCCTTTATTTGTTGTATTGGTTGTTGTTGTCTTTCCTTAACTTGTAAGGTTTTTGCCTTTCTTTCATGCTGTATTTTTATTTCTTTGATTCTGTATTATTACCTTCCGTAAATTCTCATTGTTTCACTTCTCAGTCATTTCATTATATTATTTTATCTTCTGCCTTTTTTCTTATTATTTCCAGTAGGGCCTTGACCTGACCTCGTCACTACTCTACCAAGGTTAGGCCTGTCACTTATTAGGATCGTTGTGGTGTACTCATACGACGCTTCTGTACAGTTTTTATGTAGATCAAATACTGCCTACCAGACCAGATATTAGTGAGCTAGTCCGTACATGGAGACTACAAGGTACATCTGCCAGCGTCCGTAGACCTCGGAGTCCCCCTTTATCTTTATTATGTTGTTTCTTTATGCTCATTAGACTCTGCTGTATAGGGATATTTAGTATTTCTTTTTAGAGTTTGTGACTTATATCTACCGAGTTTTGGAAGTTATTTATATTTTGAGTTGCAGATTTTAATCATTATAGTTGTTGATGTCTTGAGTTTTAGCTTAATATTTCAGTTATTCCGCATACTTGTTAGGCTTACCTAGTTTTAGAAACTAGATGCCGTCAGAATTTCCTGCAGAAGGAAATTAGGGTCGCTACATGGTTAAGATATGAATTATTAAGATTTAGATCTAAAAACAAATGCACTTAAGGACTGAGATCTGAATTATTAAAATTTAGACCTCCATTAAGTGAAAACAAATGAGGCCTAATACCATCACCTAAATTTGAAATGTATAATAACTCCATTAGTTACATTTGATTTATAGCAGATGTATGTGAAGATGTGAAAGTTGTCTCCGGGTGACCTATAAATTACGAGTTCAAGTCGTGAATCAACCCACTGATGCTTGTGCCGAGAGAGATTACCTACATCATACCCTTTGGGTGTGCGATCCTTCCCTGGACCCTATGTGAACGCAGAATATTTCGTGCACCGGACTGTCCTTTTGTATATAGGGATAAGAAAAATGTGTAAAGAAGAAGAATATAGGAAAGCCATATATATTGTAAGGAAATAAAATGTGAACAATGAACAATAATAAATTCATTTCTTACGACACATCATCATTAAAAAGAAACATAGTAAACTTTATTTAGATTCATTATATCGAAATTTCTATTTAAAGATGCAACTAATTGGATGGCATGGCTGAAGACATTGTTGCATTCATTTCAGGTACAAATTTTGGATCAGTTACACCTATCTTTGATCGTACCTCTTCAATTTTCTCAGTCAAATCTCTTTCAAGTTCATCAATCTCTTGCTTCAGTTTCTCAAGTCTTTCCAAATTAGTTGGATTGAAAATTTTCAATGTAGATTCTCCTTTTTCCTTCTCATTTATTGCCTTCTTTTTCTTCTTTTTCATTGTATCATTTTCGTCACCACATCCAGCCTTTTCATGTGTTGTCTTACGGCTTAACATGCGGTAAAACGGTTGTTTTGCTTGGGAAAATTGCTCGACAACCGATTCTACGTTTGGATTGCCAAACATAAACAGTTCAGCAGTAATTGAAAAAATTATTATTGCTATATCGATTTCACATAAGATGGAAAGATCCATTGCTCTTTTACTGAGAGCTTTTTGCTTATTGGAAAGCGCTACCTTCTCAGCATGCTTATCTTTG